ATAAAGTCGTAAAATGAAAAGAATAAAGTCGCAATGAGAATAGTCATAAAATTACAAGAATAAAGTCGTAACATTATGAGAAAAAAGTTGAAAAATTATGAGAATAAAGTTATAAAATTACGAGAATAAAGTTGTATTTTATGACAACTCTGAGTTTAGACCGCCCACAAGCTCCTGATCGGTTCTCTGCCTTTTCCTGTGTCATTGGCTGTCTCTGCTGTCACTCTGACAAGCTAAAGATTCAAACATCTGATGCTCTGCTGAATTCAGTCTGTGATATGATGGTCATGGTGCTGAAGTCCTGAGCGCTACTGTAATCAGAACTGTTTATTTCTACACTTTCTGGTACTCTTTGGATTTTTGAGATATCTTTAACAGTCAAGGAGCTACTTTATTTCTTTTATATCTTTTATCTCTATGTATTTCTTTTTTAATGCTTTTTTAAATGCTTTTTTGTAGCACTTTGAGGCCTTTTTGGTTTAAAGTGCATTATAAATTAAATGAATTATTATTATTATTATTATTACGTTAAGAAGCACGCAACTCTGTCAAAGGCGACAGATGATTATAAGAGGGAATCTGCTTCTTTAAGTTGGACATTAGTTCTTTTGATTGGGTTATGTAATCCAGAAGGGTTATAATATCAGATGTATTTATTTACACATATCTTTGAATTGGTGTCAGCTGACAAAAAAGACCATAAGTTAAATTTCGAGAAATGTGTAACAACCTTCTTGCACCACCTTCACTGGTTTCATAAAGCAGTATTTCCATTTCAAGGTATCCTCATCGTTATAAGTGTATAAGGTTAGAGCAGTGCGCTTGTGCTCTGAGAAGGTTGCAAGTACCCGGTTGGATCCCCACAGCCTGCACACTGGGTCCCTGAGCAAGACCCTTAACCCCACGCCGCTCCCCGGGCGCCCCCTCAATGGCAGCCCACTGCTCTCCAAGAGGATGGGTCAAAACGCAGAGAGTGAATTTCCTCATTGTGGAACAATCAAGGGATTTTACATTTTTCACATTTAGAAAAAGCTCTCAATAACCCTGTAAAGTATATCAGTTTTATCGAAAGTGCTAATAAATAAAATAAAGTGTATTATTGTTATATATTATTATCAAAAAGGGGAAAATATTAAATCTATGAATGTGACTTTATACATCAAAACTATGTATTTTATATACAAATGTGTCATAAAAGTGGATTTTTGCACCACAAATTAGTCAAAAAAACAAAAAAAACAATCAATTTCGAAAAAGGGACACTAAAACTAACTTGATATACAAGAAAACAACTTTTACTGCTATATGTGATATGAGTTTTAGTAAAAAATGCTTGTATCTTTTCTTTTTTCATCTTGTTACAGGTGATGAAGCAGACTGAAAATGTTTTGTCATTGTCTCCTTTCTATCTCTTCTTTCTTTCATCTTTTCTCTTTTTTTCTTTTTTCCTTTTCTTCTTCTGTTTTTCTGCTCTATTTACATTGCAGTGTCCATATAAACTGTAAAATTCCCTGCATAATTATAATAAAGCAATTTATATGCATGAAACAAGTGGAGCTATATGGCAATTGCCATACTGCTACACTTGTGAAAATCTGTTGGCATCAAGACAATTATTCTTATTGCCAGATTGCCAGACAGGACACTGTTAAAAAAAAAAAATGCTTGTATCCCCCGAACCTCTAAAATCAAAATTTCGTCCTTGCTCAACTGTGCACTACATAGGTAGCGCCCAGTCCCTGTTGACTTGGTACACTGTGCAAAAACCAAACGAAAGCTGAAAACCTTTTTAGTTGCAGATGCTACACAGGAAAATCGATCTAGAAATAAGCAAATATTTCATAAACTAATTCTATTAACCCTTAATTTGAGTAGGTAAATGAGATAATTTGCAAATGTAATGAGGATTTTTACTCTTAAAATAAGATATTTTGATTAAATGCACTTGAAATTAGACAATGCAATTGTGTTTTCTTATTTTAAATGTAAATTTACTAGTTCCATGGCAAAATGTCTCTTTACGAGGCTCAGCGTCTAATTATGCAGCAGGGTCCTATTGATGGGTAAATGGTCAACTCTTCATTTATATTTTCCTTCTAAAATCAAGAAGAAATTCATTTATTTTAAGAAAAAATGACTTATCTAGATTTGGATTTTTTCCTGTGTAGAGGAGCTTTGAAAGCTTGGCGTCCTGGGTGTTAAACCATAGCATAAAGAGTGATGATATGTCAACCACTGACTCACAGTTTAAGCAAAGCAATTGCAACGTGAGAACGTAACCACAAATCAGTTTTATCATACTGCTACCAGGGTTTTCTCATTTTCAGCTTCAATGTGCCCATTTTCCAGCTGCTTTTATCACAATAATAAGCTTTACAAATGATGCTGAAAATCTATTAAAACGTCCACCGCTTTGGAAAGAAAACCACACAATGATTAGTTCATAGGAATTATTAGCCGTATAAAAACATCACTGGATGATGAGATGCAGCAGATTTTTACTCCACTGGAAAATTTTCTGAAAATCTTGAACAAACATTCACAATAAAAATATATGAGATATGAACTCTCAACTTGCCATAAAAGCTTCAAGGCATCTTGATTTGGCATTGAGGTGGTCCTTTACATGCATATTGCTCCCCCCCTCTAAAGCCTATCCCTTCAAAACCACCAAAGATTGTTGCAGTGGCACCGATATAAGCAGCCGTTCAATTTGTGGTTTGGCAGTGCTGCTTGAGGTTGGTTTTCCACACTCCGCAGAGGAGAGTGTGGCTTTTCCAATAATTCCTCCATCGAGCCGGCTGCGTCTGCTGTCAGCACTTAGCAGGTATTAGAGGACATCACCGCAACAGCACATTATATCACAGAAAAAAGGTGAATATGATAACTGAACGCAGATTTGTTTAATCTGAAAAACAGAACCGAGCAAAGATTGAGAAAAGCCAGTCGCTGCTCAGAGACACACAGCGAGGTCTTTTTTAGACCATCAGAACTTTCATTTTTAAACCCTAACAATTAGATTTAATGTTATAAAGCCACGGAAAACGGCTTTATTAAAGAGCCAGTCCAGATTGTGGGCTTAAAGCAAAATGAAAACCTGATCAGAACTGATGGTACTTTGTTGAAACAGCAGGAACTGACAACTTTCTGAGCTGGTGTTAGTGTATCCCTCAGAGGCCCCTATAAGGCTCCCATAATCCCAGCAAGCGTCTGGACCACTTTAATGGCACTAAGACCCAGACAGAAAATTACCCACAGTGTTAACTTTTTCTCACATTTCTGCTGCATTAATGATTTACTGTTGATGTAAGCAGCTCCTGACAGCGGCGTCAGGTTTGAAAAGGCAATTAGGGATTTACAAGGGGTCAAAATTTCCACTAACGATCCACACATGACACTCTTGATTTCATTTTTAATCTGTCATTTTGGACTTTGATCCTAAACTTCGCCTCCAAATCATAACTTCAAATTCGGGGACTCAAATAAAGTGTTTGAGACTTTGGATTGAATTTAGTCAATTTTAAAGTCTAATCCTCTCAGTTTGATCAAACCAGAGTGAAAAATCCTCCGTTTAAAGAATCCTAAAATATGGTTGATGATGACTTCATCTTAGTGTCTTTTTTTTTTATCTCAACGAACAAAAATGGATAGTTTTAATGTTCTTTTTAAATTAAAACTACTCAAACCACTGGATTAGTGGATTATTCTGCGCTTATCAAATATTTTTCTTAATTTGCTGTGACCTTAAAAAGCCTATGAGATTAATCAAATATTTATAACTGAAGTTTTTAAAGCAATAAAGGCACCTCAAAAGGCTAGAATAAAATTTACAGTAGCTATACCATTTAAAATGTGAACTGAACTAATCAGAGAATTATATTTGCAGTGAAATAAAACCATTAATTTATGTGTAGAAGATAACTCTATTTTAAAGCTTTTAAGGATTTGAAGCCAATTCCAAAAACTGTGACTTGGAAAATTCACCTTTTTCTCCCATTTATTTCACAATAAAGACA